CCCAAAGGGCATAACTCTATAGTAGAATAATCCTTTTCGGGTCGGGAAAGAAGTGATTTCTTAGTCGGGCTCATGCATGACAATCTGGTGGTAGCCACGGTAAGTGTCCAGTAAATTAAGCCGGTTGTGCCCAGTCATTATGTCCACCAACTAGTCAATTCTGGGCAAGAAAAAACTGTCCTTGGGGCAAGCTCGGTTGACCGTCTTGTAATCGACGCAAACCCACCATTTCCCATTCTTCTTTGGTACCACGACCATGTTGGAAACCCACTGAGGGTAATGCACCTCCTGGATAGCCCTCCCCTCAAGTAAGTTTTTCACCTCTTCCACCACTACCTCGGCGTGATGAAGCACTGATCTCCATCTCCTCTAAATGATAGGCCGGGCATCTGAAAAGACGTTCAGTTAGTGGCAAATGAAGTTTGGATCGATGCCAAGCATATCATAAGGCGTCCATGTGAACACTTTGATGTTTGTGACCAAAAAATTCACCATGTCCAACCGTTCTTGGGCAGTCAAGCTAGATCCCAACAAAAAGAACATTTTAGGATCACTCTCATCAATCCTTATCTCTGCCAAGTCTTCAACAGCCTTCTCTTCGGCCCTGGTACCTACATCGTCCAAGACACTTTGGTTGTTCGGCCTTTCAGTCATCTACACGAAGCCTTTAGCAACCTGGCTTCCATTCACGGCCACGAAACATTGCTTGGCCATAACTTGATCGCCCTAAACTTCTTCGATTATCCTTGTAGGGGAGAGAAACCTCATGACCTGGTGGTAAGTCAATTGCCACCGCCTGCATGGCATGAAGGCATCCTCTGCCTAAGATCAAGTTGTACGTAGAGGGTACCTTCAACACTCAAAATTTCACTTGCTTGACGACGGACCCTGCTCTAATCGGTAGGATAATCTTACCTAGTGGCCACTCTAGCAACGAGTTGAAGTCAACCAGTGGTTAGGTTGCTGGGGCCAAGTCCGTGTCATTGAGCTTGAGTTGTTTGAAGGCATCGTAATACATTAATTCGACCAAACTGCCCTGGTCGATCAAGATACGCCTAATGTCGAAGTCCTTCACACGTAGCGTGACCACCGGTGCATCGTTATGCGGCGTTTGAATGCGTTCAAGATCCTTGCTCGAAAAGTTGAGCACGTATTTCACTTCGGTCTTGCCCTTCTTGACGGCAGGCTGGACATGTAGCAATTCTTACATGTGCTTCGCCTTCTTTATCATTTCCCGGAGCTTGCATATCCGCGCCGACTCAACAATCCCATGGATCACGTTGATTATACCTTGGGAGATGCGTCTAAGGCAGCCAAACCATTAGGTTCAGCTGGAGCTTAGGGTGTTGCCTTTATTTTTTGATGAAAAAAAAAATGGATATACAGATAGGCTACTCCAACATATCCACCAAGGAGTATTGCCCATTAGCACCTACAACATATCTGCAGAGAACCCCACCGCACCCACGTGAGGGCCGAAGTTTAGGCCCCCCGAGTGCTCTAGGCGCTAAGGAGTATGTTTAACCCGAACAAGGGGCTATGGAGACTCGAACCTAAGCCTTGAGCAAGGGATTCGAAGGTCTTATCCACTGAACCAACCCCCTGTTGGTGGGCGTTGCCTTTATGCCTCCATCAATGTAATGATCCAAGTGGTCAGCAGCCACCAACTCCTCTAGATGTTGTTTCAGAGGCAAACTGTCCTCATTACGATGCCCTCGCTCATCGTGAAAGGTGCAGCGATACCGCAAATTGAAGCCCCTTTGTGCATCGCCCAATTTAGCGAGAAACTGAACGTATGTCTCGTCGCGGATCTCACTAAGGATGTGGTAGATTGGGATCTTAAAAACCGTGGTGATGCATGTTCGAGCGTCCAACTTTCTCTTTACATCTGCTGTGGCATCGTGGGGGTATTCAGCCCGGTTGTTGCGATGGCCCTTACCTCTATTGTTGCAGCTAGCACCGCGATTTGATTCTTTTTCGCAATTATTCGAACGGTTTGCCTCATGTCCAACCGCGTGAACCTTTCCGACCACTCTTTTGTCTATTGCTATCGGATTCACCTTTACGGTATGCATGGTCACATCATCCTCAACTCAGATGTACTTGTTGATACGTTACATTAGCAGCTCCATAGTAGTTGGCTAACTCATAGTAAGTGAGTCTCGTAGTCTATGTCCGGCTGGGAGACCGCACTTTTATTGGTGATTGCCAAGTTAGCCAGGCAATTGAGAATTTCGTTGAAGGTTTCCCAATACTTGGTGTTGTACGCCTTAAGTGAGTCGTCCGGTTCCATCTTAATGCCTAGAAGGTTGTTGACTTCCTTAGGCGTTTTGGTGTTGGTTTTGAATCGGGTTACGAACACCTCCGCCAAATGCTGTCACCTCTCGATACTTTCCTCCGGCAACCTCTCGAACCATTTCAAGCCCAACTCGCCCAAACTCAATGGGAAAATAAGGCACATAAGTGCGTCATTTCGCCTGTGGCCAGCCATAACTTGCCGGAAGTGGCTCACGTGCATGTATGGATCGGTTTTTCCAACGTAGAGCATAAACTTGGGCTAGTGAAAGCCCACAAGGAGTAGTGTGCTTTTTATCTTGAGAGAGAAAGAGGTAGCACCCAGCCTCGCCAAGCCCCTATCCGTAGGCACATGTACAACTGGGCGTGGTGGCGGCATTATGACCTCTTCGCTGGCACGACCTCCATGGGATAACCTTTGCAACGTTAGCACCCTTTAAGCCCCTCAGCGGCGGGCTCATTCTTCAAGGACGTCCCTCGGGTCCTCCGAATGAGCGGAGTAAGAGTATCTCGACACCGTCGATGCACGCGAGAGACGATAGCTACTGTCTCGTGCGCATGACTTTTCTTCCGGCGGGTCAGAGTCACCAACCTCATAGTTTCTGATGATGGAGAGGAAAGGTGTCCTCTGTTGGTTATGGCTCCCTGAATGGCGGGGTTGGGGGCGTTCGCTGTGGTTACCCACTCCAGCAACACTTTTCCCTTTGACTTGTCGCTTTAGTGCCTCTATCTCTGCCGACATCTTCCGAATGATAGTGTCTTGGTCTCTTAGTTTATGCTCCAGGCGCTGAGCGTGGGACTCTCTTTGCTGCAGATGCCCGTCTAGACTCCGTGAATGGTCAGTGCTCCTTGGGCACTTGTCTCGCGCATCTCTGGGGAGCTCCCTAGAAGAGGTCTCCAAGCCAGCCATGGTCAGAATGGCTGGTGGGCCACCTCTCCTCCGGACTAACTTTGGGGTGATGTCATTGATGGTGGATAGTGGAATGTCGTCATTGTTCCCCATGAAAGATGATCGGACTAACTTGGAGGACAAGGTTTTGTCTGTGGGAAAGCTTCCCACAGACGGCGCCAATCGTACGAGAAGCAAATATTTGTCATTGTCCGTACTCCTTGTGTCCAAGTTTCGCTCCAAATAACCTGAGAATACAATGACGATGAGCTACCCAGCGGGTGTGTTGTCGAAAAACCCCTCTGACAATCAAGTTATCACCCTTAGAGAGGAGACAAAGTGGTAGGTAAGCTCTGATCACCCGATGTTTTTCCCAGGCACCCCTTTGTCTGTCCTCTTTCTGACGTGTGGACACGTTCTCCTCGCACGTTCTCCCACATGTCAGCGTAAATACAGCTAAACACCAAATGACGAAATCGCCAAACGATATTGACACGTATGGATGGCGAAATTTTCTTCATGCGGTTCCTCCACGCCGCCCAGCTTTTCCAACCAAGCTATACTCGCTTCCTCAACTTTCCCTTCCGTTAGGGTCGTGCTACCCGTCAAGCATCATCGGTCAGACCTTAACGTGGGCCCAACCGGGCTCCACAGTCATGACCGACTTCTTGCTCGGCAGAAACTGGTTTCTTGAGGACAAATTAGCTGAACGTACATCTCCGCCGAGGTAGTGGCCCAAAGTAGTCACAAGTTGACCGAACTTAGTCATCGGTCCAATGTGCACCCAACGTTTGACCGAGTAAAGACCTCGACTAATGACCAAACTAGCCCGACCCATTGTTAGCTCATAAATATCCCTCTTAACTCCCTAAAAAAATAGATTTGGAGTGACTGTTGTGCCCATTGTTATGCAGCCAAATGAGCACATTTTGATGATCTGAACTGTTTACATTTTAGGGTGCACCGAGTAAAACATATCTAGAAACAATCAAGTTAATCAGATATCATTAACATTTTTATCCATTCACATTTGTATCTACAAACATAAATGACAATTGTGATTTACAATATTAAAATTAATACAGATGTGAATGGATGAAAGGATTAACGATATCCGATTAACTTAATTTTTTGTAGATATGTTTTATTCGATATACTCTAAAATTTGAACGGTTCAGATCATCAAAATAGATCCTGAAATTGGTCAATTGGATTGCACAACAGTGACTGTTATGATGGGGGCATAGCAGCCACCCCAAATCCCCTAAAATGGTGTACCATATATAAGTTATGATATTTCATGGTGTTGATACTAAAAAGTGTTATAACCAAATTATTTCCAATTATAAGTAAAAGGACTACAATGAATAATCATAACTAACATCAAAATGTGTTAAAACCAAAGGTTACAAAGATTATAACTGCAACATACCTTTTTGCAATGTATTTTATAAAATTTTCCTATTAAAATACATCATTTATATCTCAATTTATTTTCTTGTATAATTTTTCAATCTAGTGATAATAGTTACTGTCCAATATTTTTATAAAATTCAGCTTTAAATCCCTTAATTTGAAATTCATGTTTATTTAAATAGACTTATAATATTGAACTTTAGTAATATTTTATTATTGTTTATTATGAAAAAAAAAAAGAAAAAAGAAAAAAGAAAATCAATCATCATTAATTTGTGCCTCTACACTAAATTTCTAGCTCTGTCACCAGTTCCAATCTCCTTTGCCTCGCATTTGCATTTCGTTCTGTATAATTTTTTATATTTCTAGCATAGCTGTTCTATTAAATCAAACAGTATCAGAACAAAAATCAGAGATAATATATATAAATATACACCATTCAACTCTATATAGTAATTTCATTAAAGTTCACGGAATTAGCACTCAAAAGTATTTATTTGTTCCTACTTCGCTGCTTCCAACATATTCAATTTCCAGTCTAATAGCAGCAGTGAACCAAAAAGGCAATACTAAAACAATCTCCCATCATCATCACCTTTCTACTCTTTGACTCAGCTTAGAATGAACCTGCAGTGATTAAAACCTGGAAAAAAAAAAAAAAAAAATGAACATCTCTGTCACTAACCAAAAAAAAAAGAAAAAACGTATAAAAGTAGCGCCAAAAAAAAAAAATAGCATATGATAAAAAAAAAGGGCAATGGTAGAGGGCCACAATTTTTGTGGCTCAAATGGCTCAAAATTGTCAAAACGACGTCGTTTTAAGCACAAAACATGTCAAAACGACATCGTTTTAACAGTTTTGAGTCATTTGAACCACACAAATTGTGGCTCTCAAACATTATTCTAAAAAAAAAACTCTATCACACAATGCAAACCTTTGAATGAACCGTCTTCTGACTAACGACTCAAGCTTAAAGCATCCAAACCCAAACAAATAAGCACAGATTCAAGAGAAGTTTAATGAACCACCAAAATGTATCCGAAAAAGCAAATATTTTGTAATTTTGTAAGGGTTTCAAACCAAAATGAACTTATCTAAAACTAATTGGCAATGGACTTGGGTGGATTAAAGAAGAAGCGACAAAGAGGATAACAAGATGAAATCCTCCGTTTGGGAAGTGGGTTGGCTTTTTGACTTTTTGACTTTTTTGACTATTTTAACCTGGGCTTGAAAGCTTGGTTTGGGAAGGACTTTTTAGTTTTTTTGGCTTTTTTGAGTTTTTTTGTGAGAGAATAATATAATGATTATGGGTTGAATGTGATGTTTTGTTTGTTATGGCTAAAATAGCCTATTTTATTTTTTTTTTGGCTAAAATAGCCAAAAAAACCTGCAAACCCACTTGCCAAACACAGGCTAAATATAATAGGAATTGATGCATCTAACATTCATGAGATACAAAACACAAATGACAAAAAAATAAAAATCTAAAATGAAGTAGACAAAAACACAAAAATTTATATGGTTCATCACTATAATCTAAAAAAATTATAATACAACATAAAAATGCGAGACAATAAAATGTACAACTATAAACAGGTTGAATTAAAACAAGAAGACAAAACTTAAAAAATATCCTCACTCCAAAACTCTTACAAAATAGAGCAGTGTAGGATAAGACAACCCAAAACACAACTACCATATTAAAATTTTTAGATATATCAAATTCAAAATTAAATTAACAATAGGTGAACAGCCCACTAAACTATATAAACTAATTTTTGGTGGATTAAAAAAAGTTGGGACAAGTCTCAAAACAAATAAGATTTTAACAAAGTACCAAAATGAAAAGAAAAGAAAGACAGAGAGGTTACTTGGGTCAGCATTGATGAGCATTGCAGTGCCTCCAAAGCTACAAGTTCCACCAATCTTCCTGTGCTTCTGCCAATAACTATTGAAAGCATAAGAAGCATGAGCCACAATGGTATCAGGATGATAGCAATTCCCAGGTGGCTTAATCTCTTCACAATCAGCTCCACCTTCACCACAAGCATAGTCCATTGCTTCCTGCAATGTCTCCGCCGGCACACTAGGCTTCGCCACACACCACAGCTCACTCTTCCCCCCCACCCCCGGCGGCGTAGGAGCTCCGGTATACGATGGGTTACACGGCGGCAAATTGGGGCTCCCCGGGCTGACAATCGGAGCCAATTTTGGAGCGAAATTGAGCGAAAATGGCGGCGGCGAAGACTTTCCCAGAAATGGAGGAAGAGGGCTGTTGGCCTCAAAGGCAGGAACAGGGGCTGGGGCTAAGGGGATTGGCTTCACTAGGATAGATTCAGCAACCATGGAGTCCATGAATGAGAGCTTTCTCTTCCTGTTAATGTGTTTTGATTGTTTTTGACTGGTAATAAGGACATTGATTCTGTTTAGATCGAAAAACCCAAGATTTTTCATGGACTCAGTGTGAGATGAGACCAAGCTCAGAGTCTCCTCTGGTGAAGGAGAAAAATGTGGAGGTGGGTTCACTAAATAAGGCGAGTTTGTGAATTGCGAAAATGTCAATAAAGGTTTGATAAAATTTTCAGCCAAATCGTCTCTGTAGGTAGCAGAGGATGGGTTCAAACAGTTGGAAGAAAAAGAGGGTGAGACATTGATTTCTTTCTCCAAACCCCACCTAGTGAGAGAGTGATAAATGTTCTTCACAGATGGAAGAATCAAACCCATTTGGTGTTGTTGATTTGCGTTGCAGAGGACGGTGTGTCCGACAACAATGGTGGTGATTTTGGTGGCTGGGTAGTGCGCTAAAACATGGGTTCTGAGCCATGTCTCGGCCACAATCACACTGTTTGAAATCTCACTGAGTCGATCACTGCTCACAGAAACACCGACAGGAACACCTGTGTGAGACAGTGATTGAAGGACCATTGGAGATGGGTCATGGAGAGTTAGGTGTTCAATCGATTCTTGACTCGCACCTGCAAAGAAAGAAATGGAAATAGGGATTCTCAGAGGAAAGAAGAGAAAAGAAAAGAAACCCAATAAAGTGAAAGTAGAAAAGAGATTTGGGTTGAGGTTTGATTACCAGTAAGAGAATGCAGAGAAGAGAGGAAGAAGAGGAGAGAGAGCCACACCATCTTCAACATCTTGATGAGTAGCAGAGTTGATTGAAGCTCTATTGTTCTCTATATGTATGTATATATATGCGTGTGAGAGTTGGGGAGGCTGAAGGCAAGTATCGAAGTGCGAAGCAAGTTAGGAAGGAGGAGTAGCAGAGTTATTATTGCCTAATTCGTGGACAAACTTTTTATGATGCACTCTACAAAAATCTAGCTTCGTATTGCTGGTGAAAGCCTGACACTGTGCTTCCGTTTGAGTGAAAAGTCACGTTGGTATTGTAGTACAATGCCAGCGAAGCTTAGGTTTGATTTGACATAATAAAAAAAATTAAAAAATTAAAAAATCATTATATTACCTTATTTAAATTACTTTATTTATCTATTATATCACTTTAAATTCAATTTATATTTAATTTATTCTTATTTAAATCACGTTATTTACCACTTTAAATTCAATTCATATTTAATTTATACTTAACAACCTTGCTGTCCAAGAAAAGTGGGCTGAAAGGGTCTGTACATCTACAGTGACCCAAAAAATGAACAAATAAATAAATAATGAAGAAGAAGAAGAAGGAAGAAGCAAATATTTACATCACCAAAAAAATATCCAAAAATTTCTCTGGAATTTGAATGGTATACATAGCTTTCCTTTGATTAATTTAGTTGGGTTAAAAAAATATAAAATATAAAATAAATAATAAAATAGATGTTATATTTAAATTATAATTATTTTATTTTAATTTTACAAAAATTAAACAAATCAAACTAAACAAACTTTTTAATTCTAAGCTAAAAATATCCTAACTTAAAACAATTAATGAAAAAAGTCAAGGCCAAACCACAACGCAAGAGACTCACAATTGATCTTCACCGTACACGATTTTTCTAGATAAATTTATCAACATTTTTTTATCTATATTTTTTCCATAACATAGAGAAATGGGGGTGATTTTAGTTACAAAACACAAATATCACTTACATATCCTATTTACGAACAAAATCATGAAAAGTACTAAAAACACCATGTTTCTAATGTTGAAAAGTGCATACAAAATTAAAATATGTACAAATATTTTGAAATCTATATAAGCAAATTAATTTTATTTTTTTTTATCTTTTTGGAATCATCATCTCTTTACTTTTCTATACATCTTTTTTATAAAAAATCAAAATATGTATTTATTTAGATCATCCTAAACAACTTGCAACGTTGACCATCTTTAAGCCTGTCATAACTTTTTTTATTACAATTTTATCTTTACATAAAAAAATAATTAAATTACGAAATTTCAAAAATCTGAGTGTGCTTGGTTTGATTTTGAAATTGAAATCAATTTTTGCGAATTCAAAATTCAAAATTCAAAATTCAAAATTTGTTTGTTTTACAATTTTCTTAAAAGTATTTTCAATCACTTCTTCTATCTCTTCTTTCATTTCCTCACATCCTATATATCAATCAATCAATTTTTCTCTCATACTCATCTATTCAACTAAAAAAAAAAAACTACAAATCATCCCAAACTGTTACAAAACTCCAATTTTGTAATTTTTTAAAAATTACTTACAAAATATACAACCAAACAAATTTTAAAATCTATTTTCAAAAATTATTTTTCAAAACCAAACTAAAAACAACTTTTTTTAATGCCAAATCTATAAGAATAAAGAAGATTTTCATAATTGCAACAACTATAAAGAAATCAAGCTGATATGTCATATAATGAAAGTGTAAAAGAGAATAATGGAACGTTAATTACGAGATATAACAGAAGTGTCAAATAATCAATTTAGATTTATGCATGTAGGTCAACAATGGAAATGATTTATCTTTTGAGAAGAGTAACAGAAAAGTATAGAAAAAATAAAAGAGACATTCATATGATTTTTATCGATCTTGAAAAAGCATATGGTAGAATGCATCGGGATATAATGTTAAGAGTTAGAGAAGAAAGGGTGACAAAATGCTACATTAATGTGATTTTGGACATATATGAATGTGTGGTGACTACTATTAGATTACCGATTGGAGAGACAATTGAATTTTCAATTACAGTGAGGTTATTCCAAGAATTAACCTTAATGTCTTATCGTTTTGTTTTAGTTATGGATGAATTAATAAGAAATATTCAAGATGATATGCCATGATACATGCTTTTTGCAGATGATATCGTGTTAGTAGATGAGACTAGAGAATAAGTTAACACTAAGTTAGAGATTTAGAGAAAAATACTTGAATTTAAAGGATTTAGGATAAGTAGAACTAAAACATAGTGCATGGAGTGTAATTTTAGCAATAGTAACAATAACAATGGAAATAGAGAAAAAGTGAAGATTGAGAACCAAGAACTACCTAACAGTGAACATTTTTGTTATTTATGATCAATTATCACAATGGCTGAGGAGATTGGAGTAAATGTGGTCTATAAAATTAAGACGGGGTGGCTAAAGTAGAGCAGTGTGTTTAGGGTACCGCGCAATAAGCGAGTACCCATAAGGCTAAAAAGAAAGTTCTATAGAACGACTATTAGACCAGGGATATTGTATGAGACGGAATATTAGACAACTAAGAAACATGTAAATAAGATGATTGTTGCTGATGATGAGGATGCTAAAGTGGATGCATGGCAAGACTAGAAAAAAAAACAGAATTAGAAATGATTATATTCGTGAATAGGTAGGAATAGTACTGATAGAAAACAAACTGAAAGAAAATAGATTGAGATGATTTAGTCATATAGAACGGAGACTAATAGAGATAGAAGTGAAAAGAAGTGATACAGTGATGATAGATGAAAGTTTTAAATAAAGGGGCAGACTTAGATTGACGTGGGTTAAAATAGTAAATAGAGATATGAATCTCCTAAATTTGATTAGTCAAATGGTCTTGAGTGAAAAAGAATTATTTATATAATCGACCCTATTTGATGGAAATTCATACTTAATTTAATTTAATTTGGTTTGGTTTGGTATCCATTCATTCCCTTCTCACTACTTGCCACTGACCTTTGCTACTAGTGCCATCATTTTTCCCGTATTCTTCCTGTTAGTCGCCACTCTTCATTTCTCGTTATCATTCTCCCCTTCACTTTTCCCTTTTCTTCCTAACCACTGATGCCATTTCCATTCACCTTGTGCCCACTACCCAAGCCCTTTCACATTACATACCACCTTACTACAACCCATACATTCTTTTTTATTATTATTATTTATCTTTCTTAATTAGTTATGATGATGCAATACGTTTAGGAGGGAATGGGTCGGACTGATCCACGTGCTCCTCGGGTCTGCTGGTCTTCGTCTCCTTGATAGAGCCTGCAAAAAGAGCCCAGTGGAGAGGTACAAAGACTAGGGCGGTTTATCTTCGTGGACTCGTCGACGTTTAAGTTAGATGAGAGGTGATCAAGAAAAAGTTCAGAGAGAAAAAGATAAATTTTTTTTAGTGAGAGGGAGAGAGTATTACTTGTCATCCGTAACGTTTTTTGCAAGCGTCTTTATATTTTTTACCAATAATTTCTTTGTCCATTCAAGTTGTCTTATTGGCCGAAAGTCTATGACCTATTCGCCGTCGACCATGGCAGTTTCACTATGCCAGGGGACAAGAGGTCTTGTTTGCATTTAATGCCATAACAGCCTTATTTAATGTTTGGTGCTTGGGCTCAATAACTATGCAGGATCTTTGTCTGCCACGTGGCTAACTCTCTACCTAACAGGTGTCTAAGTGTCATAGTGTCTGGACCAACGTAGGTTCTTCGGTGGGCCTGCTGTTAAGTTTCACCTACTAGACTATAACTAAATGCATGTTTGGGCCGTCAAAGGCAGTTGTGGATTGGGTTGTCTTGGGCCATGCCCATCAAGTTATATTCCTTTTCTTCTATAAAAATTTTAGATACAGTTTTTAATTTTTTATATTTTATTATCTTTAGTAATTTTTTTTCATATCTAATCAAAAAAAAAATTAAATGTACCTAACCTATATGAACCTAAAAGTTGTAAGAAGTGAAAAAATGTTATTAAAAAGGGGGGGGGGGGTCAATAAATACCACAAAAAATACTAAAATTTTTTATATTTTATTTTGTATTTAGTAATTTTTTTAAGATTTAATCACAAATATTTAAATTTTTTGAGTATGTTTAAAAAATAAAATTAAAATTTAATTAATTTATTAAAAGATTTTACTAAAGACATAAAAATACACAAATACAAAAAATTCAAAAATTATATTTAAAAACTAAAAATCAAGTAATGAAGAATTTGTTTTTCATATTTTTATCAATTATTTAAATTATTCCTCTTAAACTTTTACATTTCACTTCTTTCACTTAAATATGGGTGTAATTAGCTTGAGTCACTCCGGCTTAGGCTTGGGTTTGGGCTTGGGCTAATCCATGTCAACCCTTGCGAGTTCTCATTAAAATTCAGGCTAGGCCACGAGTTAGAAAATTAGACCTAGACTCAAGGGGTATTTAGACCTTGGGCTGGTCGGGGCCAGACTTGGACAGGCCTAAACAAAATTTTTTTTTTTCTATTTATTTTTATCAAAATTTTATTCTTTTCTACTAGAAATGACACTGGGCCTCGAGTGGGCCTCGAGTGGGCCAGGCGGGCCGAGTCTTAGATTGGGTTTTGAGTGGGCCTTGAACGGGGTGATAAGCTGAATCGGACTTCAAAATGATGTCCTAAGTCCAGACCAAAGGTCTTGGGCTGAGCTCGAGCCCGAACCTAAGCTGGTCGAGCCCATCCCGAATTGTGAGTGGGTTTCGGGCCGTCCATGAGTCGCTGGCCATTTTTACACTCTTACATTTAAATAGTTTTAAAATTCATGTAAAAATTAAATAGTACCGACAAAAAAGTAAAATCTATACTATATATGAAGCAAAATGAGATTTTTAATCCTTAAGGCCTGTGGAAGTTTCAATATCTCAATCTGAATTTTCTAAATTTTTTATTTAAAAAAAAACTCAGTATTTATTGATTTGGTCAAAATCTCCTGATCAGCATTTATTAACTTTTTTCAATCCACATGTCTTTCCATATGCTTGCATTTATTGATTCGATCAAAATTTCCTGATCAACATTTAAAATCCCTTCATACAAATAATTATAGATACAATTCATGTATAGTTACTGTAGTACC